AAAAAAAAATTAATTTTTGTCTAGATATAATGGTTATGCAACCAATGCATCTTAAAAAGCTTATCTAACAGTGTGTCTAGTCTATGGAAGTATATTTTTTATCTGAGAAAAATTTGTGCTGCATTTTAAGATACTGCTTGAGGTTTTTAAGACAATGGCTGTGCTTGTGATATGAATATTATTTATTTAAACACAACAGTTAGCTCCTAAAAGATCAATCACATGAATAGAGATCCAAAAGCCTGTCCTGGTACAGACTAGTATGCATAACCAAACACTGCAACTAGGTAAAATACCGATTAATCTTTAAAATGCATGCTTTTCTCATTTTAAACAACAGTAAACAACAGTTGTAAGCATCAAACATGACATCTATCCCTAAAACCGCACAGGGCATTTTGACAAATAAAAACAGTCAACAGCATGCTTCAGTCAGATTTGGGACAATTTTTAGACAGCCTATCTATTACAGACAAAAAGAGCCGCGACTGCTGCTGCATCATCATTTAGTATTTCTGTTGCTATTGCAACATCTGCTGCTGCACGTTTACCTGTTGTGTCTGAAAATGTTCAAGAATTTTAACCATAGTGTCAGTTGCTGAGGCTTGTTTTTGAGCTGCTTCCAGCTGCAATTCTTTCTGTAGCTCCATTTCTTCCTTCTTCATTTTCAACTCTTCTTTCCTTAGGTAAAACTCTTTCTCAGCTTTACTCTGCAGGTAGAGCATAGTTTCTGATCCACTCTTCTTGGGTCTCTTCCTGGAGTTGCTTGATTGGCTTTGCTCTCGCAATTCGGTGTGCCTTTTTTCGGTTTGGGCGAGACTTTCAAGAGCCTTCTGACGGACTTCTTCGGCATCTTTACGATCTTTCCAGCCTTTCTCATGTTTATCTTTCGTATCTGTTTCGTAATTCTCTGATGCCTCTCGAGACTCTTCCATCATATTTTGTAGTAGTTGGTCTAATTCCGTTTCGTCGGTATTTGAACCACTGCAGCCTTCTTGAGCCCTCATTTTCTTCTTATGTTTTTCTAACAAAAGTCGGTATCGATCCCGAACAGACTTTTGGTTGACATTGAAGGCAATCTCCTTCACTTCACAAAGGTCACTCGCAATATTTTTCCATGCGTTTCCACTTTGAGGACTTGCTGCCTTGAACTGATCTGGCTTGATGAATAGAATTTCCCGGCATAGAAAGATGTCGTTCTTTTCACTCCACTTCATGAAAGAACTAGAAAAACATAACACAGGTAAGATATCAGGTATAATTAGGGAAAGGAAGCAGAAACTGTTGTCGATGGCAGCAAATTGTTCACAGCGACAGCTTAAAATTCTAATGCAGAAACTGAAGGAGCTGGAAGTCAACATCACTCGCAGTTTTCGCTAAAAATTTGTCATAAACAATCAAAGCCTTCAACAATATCGCAGTTTTAGTTTTGCAGACACAAAATAATCGTTATTTCACTTGAAACTCACCTTTTCTTTAGCGCTTGACCATCTGCCATTTTAAACAGCTGCGACGACTTGAAACCAGGGATTCTGACGGCGTCGTCGGCTCGCGACGTGACAGACATAATAGGGACTTTAAGATCCGAGACGCGACAGCTTCTAGAACGCGGTGGCTGAGAAAGGACTAGGACTAGAACGCCGTCGTTTGCGCGGGAAAAGTAGAGTTAAGATCTCCGTCGCGATGGAAGACGACGCGGCTGCGAATTGCTCTTTAACAATGTGATTCTTCGGCAATTCTTTCGCAGAAATAGCCATGGGATCATTTAAGAAAGTTCAAGAAGTGCTTTGTTTGTGTCTAATGGAAGAGATCATAGACGAAGAAGAGTTTGCTCTGCTTTACGAAGCATACAAGCCGAGTAACCTTCCTTTTTCTCACTCGGCGTATGAAAAGTTTTCCCTCGCGAATAAAGACCCAGCCGAATGTAAAGCTGATTTCCGAGTGGAAAAGAGAGATATTCCTTTGCTTCTTGACGCACTAAGAGTACCTCCTGTCTTTCAATGCCGCAATGGAACAATTTGCGATGGAGTGGAAGGCTTGTGTATAATGCTGAAAAGGTTTGCTTACCCGTGCCGGTATTCCGACATGATTCCTATTTTTGGACGATCCGTGCCCGAACTTAGTATGATTAGCAATGAAGTTGTAGACTGGATGTATACAACTCATGGTCACAAAATAACACAGTGGAATCACGACCTTTTAAATCCAGCTGCACTGAATCAATATGCTGATGCCATTAGCAATAAAGGAGCAGCACTGAAAAATTGTTTTGGTTTTATAGATGGAACTGTACGCCCCATTTCTAGACCGGATGCAAACCAGAGAATTGTATACAATGGACATAAACGAGTTCATGCGCTAAAATTTCAGTCTGTTGCGCTCCCAAATGGACTAATTGGCCATCTATATGGTCCTGTTGGTAGGTACATGCTTTAAAGGTACACCCAATTCAAGTTCTTAGGTACAATGTTCTAATTTTTAAAAATTTCTTCTTTTTTTTTTCTCAGAAGGAAGGATGCACGATGCACGAATGTTGGCAGTTTCTGATCTGTATAATGATTTGGAAAATTTTGCTTTCTGTCCAGCTAGAACAGAAATGTGTTTATACGGTGATCCAGCCTACCCACTTAGGGTCCACCTCCAGGCCCCCTTCCGAGTTGGGGTTTTAACCAGGCAAATGGAAATTTTTTAATGAAAAAATTAGTGCAGTACGTGCATCTGTAGAGTGGTTATTCGCT